AAGATGATAAAATCAAAAGTAAATAGTTTAAGACAATTCCCTGGAACCGCACTGAAGTGCTTTCACCAAGCTTTATGAGGCCTTTTGAATCACTTGAATAGCTGTCTTGGTTATAGAGAAAATCCCAATTCTGAAAACGGCATTTCCCCCCTAAAATTGGCGCTATAGCGTCATCCGTTGGACACTGTACTTAATCTCCGTCTTTAATTGGCCTTTTGGGAAGTTTGTTTTTATTTTTTATAAAAAAACTTATAAGCCCAGGGCTTTGTTTCAGGGCTTTGTGTCTTTGGTCCTTTTACTATTAGTCCCTTTAACACTTTCCCTTGTAAACGTATGGAACTTTTGGAGGCGTGGAGCAGCCTGCTCGAACGCGTTGTGTCCTTCCTTGCAGTAACGTGTGATTATTTAAAATAGACCTATTAAGTGATAATCCAAATAACAAATTAACGATGTTATCAGCTGGTTACATGATGGTGATGGTATAAAATAACTTTATGGTAACGTTATGGGTGTTTTTAACTCCATGCAAAATGATGCCCCTGCGGTTTTATAAGCGTTTTATAACATTCTGGAAAACCTTTTTTATAAATAACCAAAACACGTCTTATGCTGTACTAAGATCCTATATATCCGTTTATAAGATCTTAGTGCTGTATGAACTACAGTTAGCGGTTAATTCCAAAATGGGCTTGGGTTAGTAGGCGACAAGAGCTGTGCGATTTGTTAAATATTCGGACTATCGTTACCAAAATAACCAGTATGCGATGAAAGCTTAAATAAACCATCATAATGAATACCCTACCATCATCCTGACGTTCTATTGTTTATTACTTCCGGAAAAAATAAATAGATATCAATACCGTAACGCATTTTATCAAAATATGAAAAAAATTTTTTTAAAGTAAAAGTGATAGCTGTTTCGTGTTTTTAGTAAACTAATGGATTTTCCTAACTTGATTTTCAGAAATATATTCCAATAAACTTCCTCGCAAGGTCAGCTAACACAAGGATGAATAAGTCCCGCTGCAAAGGTGATGGTGTTAAGTCAACGATGTTGACAGTTCACGGAACCCTGTTATAGATACAGAAAGCTATAGCAGTTACAGGTGACTGTGACTTCGTGTGTGTGTGTGTGTGTGTGTGTGTGTGTGTGTAAACAGTGTGTGACTAAAACAGTTGAAACCCTTACCACCTAAAAGTTTAGCAAATGCACCTAACATTAAAAAGGTGTCAAACGCGTCAAACGTGTAACATGTTAAGGAGCTGAACGTGCTTAGGAGCTAAACGCGTCGAAAAAAATGAGACAAAACAGGCGATTAGAAATGTGTTTAGGTGCTAAACACTGTTTTTACAGTGTACCTTATTGAATTTTTTTAGGAATCTATCTGCATCATTCACTAGACAATCAACTGTTAGAGACTACATAATCCCTGACAAATTTACTCATATAGGCCCGGAACACTTCCTTATGTCCTCATGGAACAATCTTAGTTTAGAACAGAAGAACACCCCAAGTGTTGCATTACTCAAATATTCTCTCAAAACTGAATTATTTGCTGGATCTCTTTCTACTGTCACTTTACAACTTTCTAGATTACAAGAAATACATCTAAATAAGGCTCGCGTAGATCTGTCATTCAAATAACAACTTTATAACCATAATTGGCTATTTTTAAACACTCCAAATTGTCTCTATGGTAAGACTAAAACTCCCCGAGGCTTTTTCTTTCGACATTCTCTCAAACAGACGAACTACGGTAATTTCTATGAGGCAATTGATAATATCCTGGGTAATGACTGCACTAACTTCAGAACGCAACTGGATAAAATTAACCTCTTTCTACATGGTCATAAATCTCTTACTTGTTGTCAAAACGACAGATAATAGAAAATGCGCATTTATGAATTAGCCACTGGACGGCCCTCAATCTGATTCCCGTCCACTGCCTACTCCCTCCCACAGCTGTCCTCCGATGTGCCAGGCCCTCCAACTCCCCTGTTACCAACTAATTTTTTCAAAAATTATTATCTAGTTTCTTTTTCTCTATAACGAATATACATTTTTTAGTTAAATGTCTAAATGCTTAGTCCCCTCGACGGGCAGAGCAAAACAAGGTTTTCCAGAACAAATAAATACAAAGCAAAAGGGTGTATCTGATGTTCTTGCCTATAAGGATCTGAGTGAAAGACCATGGGCAGTGGACAGAAAAAAGAATATAGTACAAATTGCACGCTTTCCATCGTGTAATATTATGTATAAGAAATGGTACAGCGCCTGTTTAGTCAACGATGACACGAAGTCACGGATCCAAAGCTATTTACTGACAGTCTTCCAAATTATCTTTGTTGATTCCTTCTCCAATTTTGACCGTCTTCCAACAGAAAAAAATTAGATACCGGTCAATGTAAACTTGAAAATCTGACCGTCTTCCGGAAGACCCAGAAGACGGCCTAAATCCGCCCCTGAATAATGTCAACATATTCGGAGTCCGTGTACAATCATGATGCTAAAAATACCTAAAATAGTATCGTATTATGTCGAACAACGCCCGTAGCAAATGGTACCGTGGCTCACCTTTTTTTTGTAATATAAGCTTGCAAATTATCAGTGCTCCTCATGGGCATTGTATTATGAAAGATTTATACCTTTCACATCTTTAGTGAATGGCACAGGTGAACCCGGTTTTCTTTTTAATAATTAAGATATATGGATGATAGACCGTTTCTTTTTAAGATGCGGGTGTATGTTTCTTATATAGATATGCTTATAGTTAGGCTTTTCCCTGTAAGTATGGAAATGCATGTCTCCTATATATAATGTTGACGTGTAGACATTATTTATAAGTTTGTCAAATAGCATATTACGCAAGCACTGAAGATGTCAACAAACCTCGTGTCATCCGTTTCAATGATGGCAGTTTGTCTCTCTCTTTTCAAAACCATAAAAGCCGCCCACAGAATTTTAGTATGAACAAGCGCCTCAAGTCTCAACAAAAATATGGGATCATCCTACCTGATCTGCACCCGCCTTTTGTGTGTGTGTGCGTGTGGAGGGGGAGGGGGGCAAACATATATCTTGGAAAGAGGCTATTCACCTGGAAGGCTATTCTCTGTTGAAGATAAATATCGTTGTAGAAAACAATATCAGTGTTAGCTGCTGATTGAAGAAATATTCAGGCTTTATTCTTTGAATTATTTATTTTAGTTCACGACACACACACACACACACACACACACACATATATATATATATATAGAGAGAGAGAGAGAGAGAGATTTCACCATTTGGATGAAAAGTGCTGTGGGCATATGATTGGGGGAGGCGGAGTCTTTGTTAAAATAAATTTAACTGTATTTTGTTTGTTTGTTTTGTTTTCTGTCACGTTAGAAATTCCTTACGAAAAGTCCTAAAGGATCCTATAAGATTCTATAGGAAATTGGCGCAAGGTGCATTTTTGAATAATTAGATGCAGGAAAAAACTCATTTCGGTATCAAAGACTTACAATACCCTTTGCTACTAAACTGGCCGACGCAACCCCAAGGCGCAAACTCCGTTAAAATCTGTGAGATGAAATATGTCTTGGATTATATATTAGCTGGGTTAATATATAGTACATAGGTGATTCCATGACGATATGGGCATAGTATTATTATCGGAGGGATAAGTAAAAAATTACCTGTATTATCTATGCTATGACTTTGCTTGGTATTCATCTTTGAGTTTAGGCATAAGCGACTTTTCTAACATAAGTTAATTGGTTTTTACATTTTATGAGCATCTGTGACAGAAACAGTCGATGGCGTTATCTGAAATTCACCCTTTTATACATGTCATTGTGAAAGTACCCTGTACCCGTATGCGATACGCAAACCGCCTATATGAATAAACTACTGCGGTTCACAATCAGAGGACCGCAAGGTAAACACCGTGAAGATGGCAAATATGAAGGCTGGAAGATTAAAAAGCTCTTCTGTACAAGGATTGTACAAGAAATGCCTTTCTTTTATTTTACTTGCCTGTTGTGTTATTACTGCCTGGTATCTGTTGGGAGCCAATGAACTTTTATATCTCAAGCACAGCAAACAAGTAGAAAAACTAACAAGATATAACGAAGCTGTTGAACACGGCGTGTTCGGTTCTAATAACACATCTCTCGAGAAAGATGAACGTTCAGAACTGAGGACAATTCAGCTGACAGAGACAGGAAAATTTTTGTCAGATTCTCTCAAATTTCAAGCAACTGAGACAGAAGACCCAACTGAACATTTGGAAGATTCCGTGACAGGTTGGACTTCCCGGGCAGAGTCATTACCTACCTATTTCTCCAAAGAAACTTTACGATGGCAAAAAGCAACAAATTCTGGGTTGTACGTGTTCTCTGCATTTTATGATCCACGAGTAAAAGGCAGAGAAGTAAAAGTAATATCAGCGGCATGCGAACCCGTAGAAAAACACATGCCTTTATATTGTCGACTTTGGTTTGAAGCTGAACACAAATACTATAATGGAACTGTCAGAGGGAACATATTGACTGATGTCCGCCGAGGAGTACTTGAATATATCCATAGGGTTGACAGAAATGGGAGGTATTTTAGAGATGTACATGTATAATATATATTTGTGATGTTTTACATATTATATGTGTGTGTGTGTGTTTGTGTCAAAGGCAAGATTAAAATCCAGGCAGGTCTGACATATGACTCGGCGAGATTGAAATCCAAGTCAAAGACAATTTAAATGAAGAGCTACATTAATCACATCCCAAATATACAGCCGTTTAACCTATAGAAACTGCATTGATGCTCATAAGTTAAGCAATACCCAGGTTTTTTCAAAAGTTTCTTCTATCATGATCATTATTTCATTTGTTTGTGGAATTATCCTACAATCACCTTCAACCGCGAGATTCCATGAGATATAGCAGCGCACGCGCAGTAGGCACTTCAGCAGCAACACTTCAAGCAGTAGGTTACGTTTTCACGTGAGGCAGACCTAACATCGGAAATCAACGGTAAGATTGGGCCATCGGCTTTATTTATATTTTCCATTAGTTACTAAATACAGGATTTACGATCATAAATGTTTATCTTTCTTTGGAATGGCCCAATTTTCCTCATTTGATGATGTTTTCTCCCTTCTCTGTGTATTTCGGGCGCCGCCATTTTAAGTTTGAGATACTTTCTATAGCCAGACCGTAATCGGTACGGCTAAATAGACATTAATAGCGATTATGGTCGTAATCGACTTCGCTAAAATAATAATAGTAGTAGTTCTCCCGCAGTTAATAATTATTCACTGATTCTACCGTAATTGNTTGGCGTGTTGTATTGAAAAAATGCTGTACTTATGGCAAAATGAACCCACAATTTCTGACTTCTGATTGACCAATAAATAACAGTTAAAATGCACCAGAATGCAGTATTATACATACTTTTTTTTTTAATTTTCCACACCATGGGAGGGGGACACCCCCTCCCCCCTCGGGATCTTTGCCCCCTCGTGTCCGCTTACTGCCCCCCTGGCATTTTGCTCAGACTACGGCCCTTGATAGTGGGTATACCACATTTTGTGGTGCCCCGACTTGCCTGTGTTTTCTAACATTTTCAGGCCTTGATTCAAATTGGGTTTTTAATTGAATGATGGGTGTGCAACTTTGCCCAAAGTTCAATTCCAGATAAACTTTGTTTATCAATACTGTCATGAATTAAGTATAAATAGTGCAGTTTAAGGTAAAGATTGATTGTAAATGGTGCTGTTTAAGTTTACCTATTACAAATATTGCAATTTATTATTATTAATTACAGTATGTATGTGTGTGAGTGTGCAATAAATATTATGTAGTTAGAATTTTTTTTAGAGATATTCTATTGAAAACTCTATTAATTTCTTCTAGGCTTGAATAGAAATAATTTTTTCCTTTGGCATGTACACTTTAGAATAACTGTACAGTACATGTATTAGTGTATAACTTGCCTGGGCTATTACCTAAAAATCCCTGAAAAATACGTGAGTTAGAGCCTTAAAGGTCCTTGAAAGCCAATTGTTCTTATGTGTCTGTATGAATCCTTGCCAGTGAATTTTGTGATAGAGTTGTTGGAATGACTAGGGAAGTTTGGCGTAGTCAAACGTTTATTTATGGCGACGGTCTGATTCTTCACAAGTTGTTAACATTTTTGCTCTAGCCTCGGATTCAATGCTGCATCTATCGCGATCAGACTCCCTGTCCAATCACGGGCGTTTATTATGGCATAACTTGCCGAAAATTTGCATAAGCCTCGGATTCAACGCTGCATCTTTTGATCAGACACCCTGTCCAATCACGGACGGGGGTTTCACTTAGGTTCGCGCCTCAGCGTTTAACCAAATGAGCGTTACTATTCCTTCCCACTCTGCTTTACACAAGGTTCTATAGTGTATGCAATTGTCAGAATAATTTTACATTGTAGTATTCAGTGATACAGTACAGTTGTATGGGATTTTGAACCCTTTAAAACTGAATTCATGGTCAAGTGTACATGAAAGAACTACTAGTAATTTTGCTATAAATAACTGCACACAGACACTCCATTGTAAAAGTTAGATATTAGCTTTTGCCTAACTTAGAGAGTATGGGGAGATTATCATATTATATTATAATACACAACTACTAATATAATGTATATGAACACAGTGATGTGGGAAGACGTATAGTCAAGCACCTAAAAATGTTATGCATATAATGCATATGCATATCAATTCCAGCATTATATTTCAAGTTAAATTTTTAATATTTTAATTTGTAGATGAAGTACACTCCTCTGTGACTGTTAAGAAAAAGATGTTGAAGATACACCTAACTAATCATGCTTTGCCAAAGATCATGCAGGTGCAGGACAGGAAAGAGAGAGAAAAATGAAGATTACATTCATATGACCACTGATTTTATTTAAATAGACAATGTCTGAGATTTTGCCTGAAGGAAGAGACTTTATGTGATTTTATAGACTTACTAGTAACTTATCTACTTAATGACAGTTCTTTTGAATTTTAAACATCTTACCTGATATTAATCAAGGGTTTCTGGATTTAAATTTAATTTAATGAAGATTTTTTAAAAATTGAAATAATTGTGATTCTTGGATTGGGTGAAAAAACTGCTTTGACTCCAGGAATAAGGTGGAAAGTTCTTTCACAGGACTGGTAATAATTTTCTTGACATGAATCATTTAACAATTGTTTAAATTTAATATTAAAATATCTTTATAAAAAGTTTCTTTGAGATGTATTTTTGTATTATTTTTCCATTCCATTCACATCACATTATTTAGTTGGTTGAAGGTATTTGTTCAGTGTAATGTTATGAATTAATTAAACAGTTTAAAATATATCACTAATCTTTTTGTTTCAACCACAACACAGGCAGATCAAGTCCTTTGAAGAATTCATCCATTAATCAGCTTGCTAATTTTTCAGTTATACCTTGCAGTCTGCAGATTTCAGATGCTTAAGATATTTCATCAGGACACTGATCTGCCTGTGCATCAGACATGTTATTACAGTGCCCTACTACGTATGTGATTCTGGATAAAATTATTTTGCCTTTGGTTCAATGATGTAAATCACTGTGCTCCTGGTTTTAGGTTGGGTCATTAATTATCCTACAATCACCTTCAACCGCGAGATTCCATGAGATATAGCAGCGCACGCGCAGTAGGCACTTCAGCAGCAACACTTCAAGCAGTAGGTTACGTTTTCACGTGAGGCAGACCTAACATCGGAAATCAACGGTAAGATTGGGCCATCGGCTTTATTTATATTTTCCATTAGTTACTAAATACAGGATTTACGATCATAAGTGTTTATTTTTCTTTGGAATGGCCCAATTTTCCTCATTTGATGATGTTTTCTCCCTTCTCTGTGTATTTCGGGCGCCGCCATTTTCAGTTTGAGATAGCCTACTTTCTATAGCCAGACCGTAATCGGTACGGCTAAATAGACATTAATAGAGATTATGGTCGTAATCGACTTCGCTAAAACAATAATAGTAGTAGTTCTCCCGCAGTTAATAATTATTCACTGATTCTACCGTAATCGGTACAGTGAGGAGCCACAATTGATCTGGTCATTAGTGACACGATCAGGGGAAAAAATTCACGGTTATCATTTACTGTGGATTAGACGGGAATATGTTTGTTGTCTCAGAACTTTTCATACACTATAATTAGTGTTTGTTCTGGCGGGTTACATTACGCTCTTTCCCACTTTCAGAGCGACATGGCGGAAGACGAAAACCCCAAGCCCGATCCTTTTTTGACTGTGTCGGCAGCCATTACACAGATGGCCACTTCTGTGCAGGATCTGGGCACGTCCCTTGGGAAGAAACTTGATACCCTTGTGAGTCTGCAGAGTAATACTGCTGTAATTAAGCAGCCACAGAGCGGCAGCTCTACTGATCTTGACCAAATGGACTGTGAGGTTCTTCTTGACCAGTTCACTTGCCCTTCTACCAGTGAGGGCGCCCAGAGTGATAATCCTTCTGCAGCTGACTGCATTTTTCACGATCTGTCCCAAGATTTGGAGGTGGAGGGCACTGGATCTCCAGTCCCTGAGGACATTGCAACTCTTATTACCACCTTACTCTCCTCTGGGTTGCCAGAAGATAAACTGAAGGACAAGCTGAATGCTTATCTCACACCAGCCAACATACCTCTTTTATGTAAGGTAAAAGTTAATCAGGTCATCTGGGATTCCCTGGACACGACTGCTAGGTCCAGTGACCTCAAACTCCAGAAAGTCCAAGGACTTATTACCAAAGCGTTGATGGCTGGGATCAGTGCGGCAGCTAAACTGAAGGCAGCTGGAGTGCAACAAGAGGATCTCCTCCAATCCCTTCGTCATACCACAGACAGCATTGTTTTTCTTGCCATGGCCTCCAGGGAGATCAATTTCAAGAGGAGGGACTTCCTTAAACCCCACATCCATGCTGATTATGTACCTCTGTGCTCCACATCAGTCCCTATTACAGAAGAGTTGTTTGGTGACGACCTCAGTCAACGTATGAAGGACATTAAAGAACTTAAAGTCACCAAGCAGGCGCTACAACCCCCCTTCAAACGGCCTTTTTTAGGGAGGAAGCCAGTGACCCCTTACCCCAGCAGGGCACTCCGCACTCAGTTCCAACACAGACGGGGAAAAGGAAGAGGATTTCCCCAGTACAGGAAGAAAGGTTACCCTGCCAAGAACTTATAAAGGTGGGCAATTCTAACTTTTATCGTGCAGGGAATTTAAAAAACTCACGCCATGAATGGGAAAAGATTACATGTGATTCTTTTATCCTTAATGCTGTTACTCAGTATAGGCTCGAGTTTATTGACAATTTACCGCCTCGTCAGACCTTTATACCTACCCCCATTCAATTTAACGAGCAAGAGAAAGAGATAATAGACCTAGAAATTCAGAACTTTTTGGATAAGAAAATTATTGTGCCTTGTCAACATAGCAGCCCACAGTTTATCTCTAACATTTTTATTCGTCAGAAGCAAAATGGCAAATTCCGCATTATCCTCAATCTGAGCCAGCTCAACAAATTTATTGTGTACCAGAAATTAAAAATGGACACGCTGGAGACCATTATTAAACTGATGAGAGAAGGGGCTTTTATGGGGTCATTAGATCTAAAGGATGCCTATTATTCTGTCCCGATTGCTACAGAAGATCAATGCTATCTCCGGTTTCTTTGGAAAGGGGACTTATTTCAGTTTACTTGCCTTCCCATGGGACTCACCAGTTCACCACGGATCTTCAGCAAAATCTTAAAACCTGTCATGGCCGAGTTAAGATTGTTAGGCTATGTTAATGCTATTTACATTGATGACACTTTTCTTCTGGGGGATTCTTATGATGAATGTGTTAAGAACATCACAGCCACACAGAATCTTCTCACTAGACTGGGGTTTAGCCTTAATTATGAGAAATCAGTCACTATACCTAAACAGCAGCTGGTTATGCTTGGGTTTTTGCTTGACTCTACAGACATGACTGTCCGTCTCACCCTCCAGAAAGCTACTCACATAAAAGAAATCTGCACTAGGCTCATTGATTCTCCAGTCATAACCATCCAGGTTCTCTCAGAAGCTATTGGAACCCTGTGTGCATCATTCCCTGCAGTCGAATTTGGACCTCTCTTTTACCGTGCATTAGAACGGGACAAAAATGCTGGGTTAGCTAGGTGCAAAGGGGATTATTCAGGTGTCATAACTCTCAGCCAACAGTCCATTAAACAACTGCGATGGTGGATTGATAATGTGCACAATGCTTTTAAAGTTATTTCACACACTGAACCCTCTCACATGATTACTACCGATGCGTCAAAAAAGGGATGGGGGGCAACTAATCAAGGTGGATCTTCAGTGGGAGGCAGATGGACTTGCACGGAAAGCAATATGCACATTAACTATCTTGAGCTTTATGCAGCATTTTTTGGTCTCCAGAGTTTCTGTAAGGAACTATGTAACACTCATGTCAGGATTAAGCTAGATAACTCTACAGCTGTGGCTTATATTAATTCCATGGGGGGAATGAAATCTCAGGACTGTGATAGACTAACTACTGACCTGTGGGTATGGGCCATAGAGCGCAATATTTGGCTCAGTGCGTGTCACATTCCTGGGGTTAATAATGTGGAGGCAGATTTAGCATCACGGAAATTTAATGACCGCACAGAATGGATGCTGAATAAAACAGTTTTCTATGAACTTACTCAGCGGTTTTTTGAACCAGACATTGATTTATTTGCCTCTCGCCTAAATGCACAATTAGACAGATTTGTTTCCTGGCACCCAGAGCCTGGGGCTGCATATGTTGATGCGTTTCACCTGCATTGGGCACAGTTTAAACCCTATCTTTATCCTCCTTTTAGCCTCATTACCCAGTGTCTGCAGAAAATCAGCAGGGACCAAGTCGAAGATTGCATACTTATTGTCCCCTTTTGGCCAACACAAGCGTGGTTTACCCAAGTTATGACTCTACTAGTGGACCACCCACTTGTTCTGCCACGCAGGAACATTCTCACACTTCCAGGAGCACCGGAAACGTTACCATTCAAAGCACAATTACTAGCAGTTCACTGCTCAGGAAAGCTTTCCAGGGCCAGGAACTTTCGGGAAATGTTGCCGACCTTATCCTCGAGTCCTGGTCAGATAATACAAGGAAGCAATACAATGGAATCTATAAGAAATGGATTTCCTTTTGTGGTCAAAGACAGACTAATGTTTTCAAAGCAGATCTGAACAGTGTGTTAGACTTCCTTTGCCAGTTGTTTCATGAAGGGGCAGGGTACTCTTTGCTTAATTCAGCAAGATCTGCATTATCTGCACTCTTACCTCCGATAGATGGGACTAGTGTGGGTGAACATGTTTTGGTCGGAAGACTGTTGAAAGGGGTGAAATCACGCAGACCTTCACTCCCCAGATACTCTCAAACTTGGGACCCTTGTATTGTTATCAATTACCTCACTCGTGCTGACAATAGTTCTCTCAAAGAATTAACACTCAATCTCTGTATGTTGCTTGCATTAATCACTGGACAGAGAGCTCAAACGCTACATAAACTGAAATTAAGCGACATGAATATTGAGACAGATTTCATCAGATTTACTCTGTCATGCCCTGTTAAAACTAGAGGGCCAGGACTTACACTCACCCTTCACCCTTATGAGGAACCCAAATTATGTGTTATGTCTCTCATAAAATGTTATTTAGAGAAAACTCAGGTCATTAGAGGAGATGAAGATCAATTGTTTATATCATTTGTTAAACCACATAACGGGGTGACTAACGCCACAATTAGAAGGTGGATACTGACTGTCATGAACAAAGCTGGGATAGATACTAATGTATTCAAAGCCCACAGTACTAGAAGCGCTGCTACGTCAGCAGCCTTTAGACATAATGTACCAATTGCCAGTATTCTTAGAGCAGGTTCTTGGAAGTCCGAAAGTACTTTCACCAAGTTTTATAATAGAACAGTGAGAATTATGGATAATAGCTTTGCAATGGGAGTTTTACACCATTAATTGCTTGTTGGTGATCTCTATGTTTCTCTAGGTGCCCGGTTGGCATTGACAGGGCTACCATGTCACTATACTTATTAAATAATCATGTATTCAATTACTTGTGTTTAGTTTCTCTCTCTTGCCTCTGAAGGAACTGGTAGCCACTTTAAAATCTCATGGAATCTCGCGGTTGAAGGTGATTGTAGGATAATTGAAAATTAAACGAGACTTACCTGTAAGTTGAAGTTTGAGATAGATTATCCTACAATCACCGGAGACTGAGAGATTACATGCCCACCACTGCCCTCCCATTATAACAGGCTACCAGCTCCTTCACTTTAAAATGTGCCTACTGCGCGTGCGCTGCTATATCTCATGTAATCTCTCAGTCTCCGGTGATTGTAGGATAATCTATCTCAAACTTCAACTTACAGGTAAGTCTCGTTTAATTTTCAATTATGCATATTTCTTTCATATTTTGTAAATAACCTATTCAAATTAAATATTTCTGTTAATTAAATACACAACATAGCTGATTGTTATAATCAAAATAACTTTATTACCCAAACTATACCAAAAAATGCCGGCCCATGTGTCTAAAAAGTATGCTCACACATTAAAAAGTACGTGCTGATTAAAACAGCTTAACATGAAACTTCAATCATCTACGAATTAGTTTTAATAAAAAGAAGACTGTAGATAATAGATTATTAATCGACTATTATCCAATAAAAAATTGGTGTGCCTTCCCTGGTTTTGAACAGCAGCTTCACAATGTCTCCTGCAATTTGCTACCACATTCTGGCAATCTTGCATTGTGAGCCGTTTCCATTCCTAAATTACTGCCTGCTGGAGCTTTCTTATATTTCCAACTGGAGGATGTCTATCATTTACTGCTCTGTCATTTATATCCTTTGCATGTTCAATTACACTGAGAATTGGTGAATATGCAGGATAATCCAAATTTGGGATACCATACTGTTGCAGCTGTAAGGGCGAATTGTCCTGCACCAAAATGACATTTCTACCTGGATTTGCTTGTGTGATTGCATGGGCCCCAATGGCATTTCTGTATTGTTGACCATCTCCTTTGCATGACGTACAGTGGCAATTTTTCATCATATGAGAAAGCGCATGATACTATGACGGATACTCCGCAACCCTGAATACGTGGGTGAACACAATCATCCTGAAACGCTTGGTTTGGACCTCTCCAGACTCCTAGCCGACCATATGCATACATCAAAGTGAATCTGCTCTCTTCAGTCCACAGGACCTTCAGCCAGTCCTGAGATTTCATCTTTCTCGGTGTCTGGTTTATGCCAATCTTATCTGCTTGTGTCTGTTGGTCGACGGTGGCTTTTTACGAGGTTTTTAGATGAAAGTTCAGCTTCTAAAAGATGCCTGTTGACTGTCTGCCTACTGATTAGAGCTCTTCGTCATCCAGGCCAGATGTTTCTCAGTTGTTTGGCCGACATGAACTGGTTCTGCTGGCGTAGTCGAACCAAACGTTTTTTAACTCTTGAGTCGGTTAATCTCGGTCTACCAGAAAGAGGCTTGTCCAATACATGATGAGTTTGGCGCCATTTTGTTAGCAGCTTGGACACTTGACTTGGTGCTACTCTCTGTTGCTTTGAAATCTGTCTCTCTGACACCCCAGCAAGGTGGCTTCCTATAATTTGCCATCTGACTACCTCGTTGAGTCTTCTGCTAACCATTGATTGGTACAATATAACAAATTGTGCCCATGCCAAGCTGGAAGCTCCGCATGACATGCCCAAACTGTGTTTTTCGCAAGTGGCACCCCTATTGCATATTCTACCCTGTCCAACAGTAAATAGTATTCAAATGTCACGGTCCACTAGTTCAAAGTAAGAACGAGAGACATGTCTAGCTACTGTACAAATTTTGCCTCAATAAAAAGCTGGATTGCTGAGAAATTAGAAAGTGTTGCTTAACTTATGAGCACCAGTATATGGTTTAGAGCATATTCTATTAAATCCCTTTCATGTGGAGGGTAAACCACACGAAATTGCAGTATTATCGGGGTAGCATTTAAGCATTAGCGGCGCAGTGGTGGATCATGTCTGTAGTAAAGATGTAGTATAGCATACTGCACGTCTGCGTCCAAAACCACATACTGTAAAGTTGTACAGAGATGGGGATTAATACGATAGACATGATAGATCCTTGTTTCAAATATGCTAAATTATATAAAG